TATTTACTTCCAAGTTCTTGATAGTACAATAGTTGACACTCATAAAATTAATTGCCAAGTGCTATACTGTCAGACCGTGCATTAATTACATTTTCAATGCAACTTTGACTGCTCCACTTGCATTCTGCTGACTTGCTAACTCCCTGCAGGACAGTTTTGAACACCCCATGGCTCAAACATCTGGCAGCGCATCACAAACAGCCATTCCTCCAGGAGAGAAGCATGACAGGCTGGTGAAAGCTGCAAGTTTAAGGGTTGGTGTATCTCAGGGACTGCTAGAACAAGATAGGGGCACTTAGTCCCATCAGGAAGCTGGGAATCTCACTTCCCAAAGGGCCATTTTTACACCTAACAAGCTTTAGAAAAACTTTGAGAAAACACTCAGTTGTTGCCAATGCTAGCTGGGCTCCCTTAGCGTTAACAACATTTATAGCGTTGTTTTTTCCCAAGACTAGGATTTGGGAGATACTTAGTGGTGCATCAGTTAACGCGCGTTCACAGCCTACTACAAACAAGGCAATCTTTAGCAGATGTTGAGATGAGTCAAAGCCTACCATGAAGTTTTATCGCACATTAGCTAACTCTGAAGCCTAGTGCAGGCCAGGTGACTGTGGCAGTGAAGGAAAGATACCAGTGAGGTCTGTGCGATCAAATCGTTCACCCCTGCCCAAAGGGGCCAGCCCTGATGGTTCCCATCCTTCCAGCGGATCTTATGGGATTTGGCCCGAGACAATTCACCTCCCTGACCTGGCAGACAATGACTCTTCCTTTATTGTTTGTTCAGGCAGGGTTGCTTTTCTGCCACCTTAGCAAGTGGGATCAGCTGTGGAGGAGTCCAAAGTGTGCCAAAGCCAGTGCAAAAAGCGGGTGTGGGGGAAAAGGCACTGAACAAGTTGCTAGCTCAGCCCAAGCTGTGACACGTACCTTTGCCCTCACACCTGTTTTCAATATGACATAATATTAAGGGTGCTGACAAAGGAGCTCTGGCAAGTCTCGCTGTTGTAGTCGGAGGAGATACCACACCACAACATGGCTGTGCTGCCAGGAGGTGCTCCCTGCACAGCAGGCAGGGTCACGGCGCAGGTGCCGACACCTCGGCTGCTTCTGTGTAAAACTGAGCCCCCACTGAAGGTGGGTTTGAGGCTCTAGACTTTGCCCTTTTGAAGTGGCTGAGGCAAAACTGTATGTTCCCTTCGAGAGGAGGGAGGAGGAGAGATCAAAACCTGCAGCAGAGGGGTAGGAAGGGCAGGTAGGGTTAGTGACCTCTCAAGCAGTCATGGAGAGGTGTGCTAGTGCTGGTGTGGCATCCCCCGTACAAACACTGCCCGCCTCTCAGCGAGAGGGGCTGTACAAACACACCGGCATCACCAGAAAACTTCCTTCTGTAGGCAGGGCTTCAATTATTGCCTTACTCGATCGTGAGGCATCAGCTCTACAAATCACACTATGAGGTATTAAAAATGCTATTTTTCAGTTTCTCACTGATAGGGGAGATACTCTTCCCCTCTTCCCTTTCTCTCACTGGGGCCTTTGCAATTCAGTTCTTGGCACTGAAGTGGTCTGGCTTTCAGAAAGGAAGATTCTGAAAATGAGACTCAAAATGTTTAAAACTCTCTGCCTTAAAAAAGTGTGAAGCGGTTCATCTGTAAACTCTGCTGTCAAAAAAATGCATTAGTGTGTAACAAGGCATCCAGGCTTTACTAACACTTATGAATGGTTCTCATCATTGAAAATAAATCTTAGAATCATTCTGCCAGCATAATGTCCTGTTTTAGTCTACTGAACTCTGTTAATATGTATCATGGAGGCAGGTGTAAGCAGCAGATATACAGGACTCAAAAGTTTTGAAAATGAGATTCTAGAATGGAAAATAAGAAAACACAGAATTAATTTTAGAAGGGGAAATAGAAGCTTCCACCATGTGAGGATAAACAGGGCTTTACATGGCAGAGGGATAGCTCATATATAATTGAATGATGTAGGATTTTTAATTAAAATGTGGTGACGCCTTTCATGCCTGTGATACACAGCACTGTAAACAAACTTTGTGCATGTCCAAAGGTGCAGGCGACATTGTGAACTACCTTATTTTGCACCTTCATGCCTTTATTGGTGATCTGTGCTACACTCATATTGTACGTGCTGTGTGATAGCTTTGTTTGGGGAGAGGTGGAGTGGTCACAAGAAGTGCTCAGGAAAGTTCAAAGTCTGGTCCTGCTCCAGCTCTTCTATTCCTCTGGGTGGTCCTTGTGCAGGATAGGACTGCTTTGCCTCTTTATTGGCAAGTTCACAGCTTAGTTTGGGAATTATTACAATTGCACCCCAGCATCTTTCCCCTCAGCTTTGATACCCCTAAGGGGAATGAGAGGGCTCTTGCAGAGTGCCTGTGGGGTAGGCAGGAATTTGCACTTCCTCTGTGATCATGAAGGTGTGTGATAGAGATTGTGAGTGTCTAGGTTACAAACTTGTTCCAGTATAATGATAGGGAGACTATTGCTGGGTGCAACCTGTACGTGCGGGGAATCTCAACCTAAGCAATCACAATCTCTACCACACACCATCATCATCACACTTCCCACAAAAGTCAGAGGCAAACAGATGAAGTAAAATAGCACCAGTAAATAAAATAAATAGGATCACTATTCCCGGGGCTTGTTTCTCCTGGTGTTTTATCTTCAAGTGGAAAAGTAATGTGTCTGGCTGCTACTGCAAATGCTAGGTGTGAAAAACACATCTTGATTCAAGGGAACAAGCACACTGTCTACCAGAAAACCTTGTTTGCCAACAAAGGGCAGCAAATGCCCTCCTGAGGGAGACACGACTTACCGATGCTTGTGGAAGAAAAGTATTTACAACACTGTGAAAATCACTCTGCAAGTGGGGCTGCAGACTCAGCTTTCTAAGACTCATCTCTAACTGTCTCAGGTGGCTTTTTCTGATGTGGAACTGCCTAACTTGTAATTTCAAACTCTTGAAAGGAGAAAAACAGAGCTGCAGTGACCAACTTCAGCTACAGCTAGAAGATATCCCTCTCAGCCCCTGACTTGTCAAAGTGGCAGCATTAGACTTGGCAAAAAGGCTAGATGTTTAGGGTCTACAAATGCTTGATTCTGGCACAAGACTGTGTGCACACATGTAAATCAGGAGGGGGGAAAAATCCAAGGAAAAGCAAAGAATTTTGGCACATCATGGCTTTTACATGACAAAAAAATGAGTGAACAGTGCAACAATGCAGCAATAACGTTTCCTAATGTATCCAAATTTCATAACATTGACATTTTGCTGTTGAATTAATCTTGCATCCCTTGATTATTGTAGCTGCTCTTAGTTTACCATGCCTGACTGATTTTTCAGATAAGCATTAAGGGATTAATAAGATTCAGAATTGTATCTCATCAATTATAACCATATTTTAATGTGAAGTGTGTACCTAAATCAAATACAGTCCTTTGACAATCCGAATCTCACCATGTATAAATTTATCTGATGTAAAAAGTATTGCTTGGCTCTCGGCAGAGCTGTCAGGGAGTAACTTCGGACGACTAGACCTGTGTTAGGCACGGGGGGCAGATCCTGCGGGGTTCAAGGCAAGCAAACGTGGGATACGTGACCTGCGTGGCCCGCTCCCGTGTGTGCCGGCGCGTGGGGTTTGCAGCTCGAGCAGCACCAGCAGCACGGACTGCCCCTAATCCCGGCGGGGCTCGCGATTTCAAGGGGAAGAAAACAAACCTGCGTGGATTTTGCCTTTTTTGGGGGGTGAAACGTGCCGGGTTCCAGCTGAAGCACATGCAACGCCCGCGCCGTCACCCGTCGCTGCGTGAGCGGCCCCCCGCGGGGCGCGTCTTTCCCCCCCCCCCCCCCTCCCCGGACACGCACCCCCGCGTCCTGCGGAGATCCCGGGCGGCAGCTGAGCCCACGCTGCCGGTGGCGGCAGGGGGGTGGGTACCGCGGGGCTGCGCGGGGCGCGGTGCCACGGCGCGCGTGGGGCAGCCTCCGTGCGGGATGGATGCCCTCGTCACCCGGGCGGCTGCGGGCGGGGGGGCGGGGGGTGGCGGAACGAGAGTGGGGCGTGATGGCGGGAACTTGGGCGGCACGGCGTCAGGCTCGTCCCGCAGTGTCCAGCCCGGTTACCCGCAGGCAGCGCCTCCGCAACGTGGCGTTGCCGGAGTTTGGGTTTCTGTGGAGGCCTGGTTTGGTTGGTTTGTTTGTTTGTTTAGCAAATCGTGGGCACGCTGCGTGTTGCGAGCGGAGCTGGGTAGTTATTTACGTTCTGCTTTTGACGAGGCATTTTTAATTGAATGCGTGCTGTTCAGTCGGGGACAGGTTGCAGAGCGGCAGCGGGATCGTATTTCGTGGCCGGCCGGCGCCGGGACAGGGTCACCGAAAAACGGTTACACCGGAGAGAGGCGCGTTTGCGTTTGGAACCGAGGAACGAAGTTTGTCACGACTGGACGCACGCGGTCGCGGCGTGGCACGGAGTCACCGGTAGTCCGGGCGGGATAGATCTGGCGGGCCCTTGGGGGTAAATAATTAGGGAAATACTGTTTTATTGTGTAAACTTTTTTATTTGAAAACAGTGCGTTCCTCGCCCGGAAAAGCCGTATCTGCCGCCTAATGAAATAGTTCCGCCTGGTGCTGAAACTGCCACCGCGGGAGGCGGGTATCAGAGGCGGCACAACTCCGGGGCGGGGGGCATCGGCACACCCCGCCTGGCCTAGCCCGGTAACCCCGGTGGGCAGCGGCGCCGCCGACATGCGAGGGGAGAATTCCTCAATGGCGCTGGCCACGCCCATCCCCCTGCGGAGGCGGGGCTCTGGGCGCCGTAGGCCACGCCCCCGGCGCGCACGTGTGGAAACCCCCGCCGCTTGTTCCTAGCCGGGGCTGGCCACGCCCCCCCCCGCGGCAGCCGATTGGCCGCCGGGGCGGTTGGCGGGCGGGGGAGTGGGCGTGGCGGTCCGCGCCGCGCCGGTTGGGCTCCACCCACGTGCGGCGGAGCCGCGCGAGCGGGCGGCGGGGCGAGCACACATCCCGCACGTAGCCGGCGTCTCCAGCAGCGCCGGGGCCGCCTCCCGGCCTGGGGGGGGGGGTCCCAGACGGCCCGGGGAGTCCGCACGCTGCGCGGGCGGCAGCGGCAGCGGCAGTGGCAGCAGCGCCGGGCCCGCGGTATCGCGGCGCAGCCCAGCCCGCCGCGCCGAAAGTTTTGCTTCGCCTGTCCCCGCTCCCCGCCGCGGCGGAGCCCTTGCCCCGGCTCGGCTTTGGAGCCGGCGGCCGACCCGGCGGGCATCGTCTCCCGAGGCGGGCGCCGGCAGGGCAGCGGCGCGCCCGTCCTCGCCGCGCCATGCCGCTGGGGCACATCATGAGGCTTGACCTGGAGCGGATCGCCCTGGAGTACGTCGTGCCCTGCTTGCACGACATCGGCTTCTGCTACCTGGACAACTTCCTGGGGGAGGTGGTGGGGGACTGCGTGCTGGAGCGGGTGAAACGGATGCACCGCGACGGGGAGCTGGCCGACGGGCAGCTGGCCGGCCCCAGCCGCGGCGTCGCCAAGCGGCACCTCCGCGGCGACCAGATCAAGTGGATCGGGGGCACGGAGGAGGGCTGCGAGGCCATCAACTTCCTCCTCACGCTGATAGACCGGCTGGTGATGTACTGCGGGAGCCGGCTCGGCAAGTACTACGTGAAGGAGCGATCCAAGGTAAGGGGCCGCGGGGCTCCGGCCCGCCCGACGGCACCGGCTGCCGGCCGGCCCGACCCGCCTCGCAGCTCTCGGTGCGACTTCGCGGAAAGTTTCCGAGGGCTCCCCCCGCCTTCCCCGGGCCCCGCAACCCCCGTGTTGCGTGCTCGCTGTCCGCGGGTGCCTGCGGTCCAGGCAGCCCCGCTCCGGCGGCGGCTCAGGGGCCCCGGCCGGCTGCGGGCGGGGGTCTCTCTAAAAATGGGGCCGCGGGGCTGCCCGCTGCGGGTCCCTCGTCCCGCCGGTGCCGGCAGCGCTCCGGGCCGAATCGCCGCGGTGCCCCGGGTTGGGTCTTCGCCGGGCTCTTCGGTTGCCGGACCCCGGCCGGGCCCTTGCTTGTTACCCCCGTGTGCCTGCGGGGGGTCACTTGGCAGCCGTGCCGGGGGCTGTGGGCGGCCCCCCCACGGGGCCGGAGCCCGGCTGCACCCCGCTGCCGCTCGCCAGCGCCGGGCGTGCCCCGCCAAAAAAAAAAGCCAGCCGTCACCATGACTTTCCTCTGGAGGAGCGTTTCAGGTGGAGGGGAAGGCTTCCTACCCCCACCTGCGCACGGACAGGGCTCGGTGCCGGTTATTTGGTTGGTTGCGCCCATGCGATCGTGTTGCCCCAAGTTTCCGTGGCCCAACTCACGCCAGCGCCCCGCAGCTGAAGAAGTTACTGTCGCCGCTGTGGGTCTGTGGCACAAAATAAGGGATGCTCACTTTGAGCACAGCAAACTTTTTTAACTTTAGTTTTTTATAAACTTTTGTTTTTTTCTAAGCTGTCTTGCTCAGAAATGGAGAGGACACTTTTATTATAGGACACTCTTGGATGCCTTTCCCAATTAAGTTTGTTTGCACTTGCAATGTCATTGCTTTGGTTTGGGATGACGCTTGGCTTTTCTCCCCTTGTCTATTTTGCTGTGGCAGAGTGGACTGGCTTGGAACTAAGTTTGTCTCATTGTCCTGAGTGCTGAAAACACCCCCATTTCTTTATTTCTGACTTAAATTATATAATATATAGTGCATTTTCAAAACATCCACTTCTTTTAGAGATGTGTGAGAAATAGAAACGATGAAACTTTTAAAAAATTATGGAAGTGGAAAGTTGGGAATTTCTTTTGGTCCTAACTTGTACTGAACCAAGTGGACATGTGAGTGGTACTGAGATTATTATTTTTTTTTTTTTCACAGAAGACAAAGAAAACACTAATGTGGTGTTTTCCAGTTGCTTGGAAAACCTTAAAACCACTGCGTGCACCCCCCCTTCATACTTCCACACAGTAGTGGGAATAATAAAAGGTTGAAACATTGCTCCTATGCTTACACTGATGAACAATTCAGTTAAAGCTTGGGTCGATTTGGTTTAAAATTTGAGCAGGCTGGATTTCACTTAGTCCTGGTGGGAGCCTGGTGTTAGGAGGTATAAATAACCATTCTGCCTTGGCATGCCACTAAGGTCATCCTAGTTCTTTCTCTGGGTGACTTCTGATTGCCTGATGACTGCTGAAAGGGCATTGCTGGCTACCTGCAGGGGGGTGCAGAACAGGGGGGCTAATATTAAAGTTGGGCTTGAGTGAAAAGAGGATTCCAGCATTTTTACAAGATATTTGTAGAAAGAGTCAACTGGATACGTGAAGGCTGTTGGCACTGGCTGGGGAGAATAGTGTTTTGGGGAGTGTCCTTGGGTTGGAGAGATGATTTTAAAACTGAGTAGTTGTGGTCTTGCAGTCTTTTTTGTACAAATAGAAACAACAGAGAGGAAGGAACTTGTTTTATAGCTAGATACCAAACTACTCGCTATAAAGAGACTTTTGGCCTTTGTGTTTTAGCATGGAAGATGTCAGACTCCAAGCAGTGCATGGAAGTCCAGGACTGAAAAGCGCTCAATATCATTTGTAAAACTAAATGCAGAGGAATTTCCATCAGAAATTAATAGTAACCAATCCTTTATTATAATAAGTACCATGGATATGTAAGGAATAGCAGCTGCTGCCTGTAACTGAGCTGTGGAACACCTTCAGCAGGAAGATTATTCCTGTGACTAACCAACTGACTGCTGCAGTGCATGCTGGTTCCCACGTCACCAATAGACATTTCCCTTCCACCATTAAACGTGCCCATTTTGCTTATCTTCTAAAGTCTTGTGAATGCATACACAAAAATCACATATTTAAATTCAGTGTATTTATATTTTATCTGCTAGACTGTACACATAAATGAATGCCCAGAAAACTTCCACAGCTTAACTTTTGTAGGGATGTGGGATGTTTTTGAGCAACTGGACTAGAACTTCTTAGCTGGACATGTGCTGTTATAATTTATTGTTTTGGGATATAGGTATCAAATGGAGCTAAGAGTCCAGAGCAATCTGTTTAAAGTGTAAGCCTTTGGCTACATGGTGACTCCTCTAGTCATGGAAATGAATCCATGTAATATCAGCCTCATCATTATTTAGAGGTTTGTGCTTTTAAACCAATAGTATGACCTTAAACTTCAGTCTAAGTGTTGGAAGAAGGGGAGAGGTTTTCTCAGTAAATGCACTTCCATCAGCTTACTCCTTAGTGTGATGTGCTTCAGGTTGTTTTTGTAGCTATGCAAGCGTAGAGACAAGAACAACTTTTGTCTGATAAAGGAAGCTTTCCTTGTAGCTACATGAGAGAAATAAGTCAGTTAGGATTTTGCTGTTTCCAAATGAATTTCAACAGCATTACAATAAAGTTAAGGTCGCATCAAAGAGAATGGACAGAAGTAAAATTTTACAAAGGTGCTGAATACTCTTAAGAGGAGTTGGTTGATGTGCGAAGGTTGTTAAAGAAATTTAACCTTTTCATCTTTGTGGACCAGTGATCCAAATCTATCTTTGGAGTAAGTTGTATTTTAAAATATTAGCTGACTTGGTTAAATGATCAAAATAATCAGAAAACATTTTTCTAAGGACTTTTCTGTTGACAGACCCAGTGCACTGCTTGTTGGCTTTTGCATTCTCTTCAACTAGAGTTTCCATTTTCTAGTAAAACAGTACAGTGATTTCCCTTTTCTAGTAGGTAAATGGCTAAGGATATCACTGAGGCATCACTGACCCAGATTTGGTGGTCTCCTCAGAGTGAGAATATTCACATCCTTGTGCAGAGGGACGCTCTGGCCTGAGGACAGAGATCACTCTGGTTCTGAGGACCTGTCTCCACTCTGGAGCTTTGATGCTTGAAGGAGAAAAGCTGGTGGGTGGTTGGGGCTGGGAAGCAAAGCTGCAGCTTGATCCGTGAGGCCAGTCACCTGGAGTGCCGCCAGGTCAAACGATGCTCCGGGCACTGTGGGTGAGAGTGGGATGTGCTGCAGCTTCTGACTCCTCAGGTCCCAAAGTCCCTTCCTGAGGTTAATTAGCATTTGCAGGTACTCAAGGGGGTGCCCTGTAGAAAAATCCCTGTATTATAAATAAATAATTAAAAGCAACAACTTTTTTTTTTTTTTTTTTTTAAAAAAGGCATGAAAAATAAATATTTCAGAAGAGAAGCCATTTCAGAAATTTCTCCTTCAAGACATGAGAAATGATTTTATTTATTTATTTATTTTTAATTTAGATGCTGCAGATGTTCCAGGTGCTGTGGAGTTTGGGATCTCTGTCCCTTTGGCAGCCTCAGATGCTGGGGAGCCCTGGAAGTCCCTCCTGTGGGGAGGCAGGGGACGGGGGCTGGCAGGAGCCAGGTCAGCTGGCTGGTGTGTGGAGACGTAAAAGCTGCGTTCGCGGCGGGACGACTGGGTAGCTCATCTGCTGCTGAGGGTCTGTGCCTATTGCCCCTTTTTCCCTGCCTCTGCGGCAAAGGGCAGCTCTCCCCACGGTCAGGCAGGGTCCCCGAGCGATGCCGCCCTGAGTCAGCGCTTGACGTGCTGCCACCGGGCTGTGTTGGCCCCCACGGGCGAGGGCTGGAAGGTACTTTGAACCGGTGTGGCTGTGCTCTGTGTGGACTCTGTACCCCGGTCCTGACAGCAGCGTGTCCCGCTGTGAGTCACTGGTACCTTCTTGGGTGCCATCATGGGTTGAAATCCCTGTCGGGTCTGCCTGTGGGGACCTCAACCTCATCTGGTGTCTGCTGGACAACAGGGCGCCGCGCTGGTTAGAAAATCAGGCAAGAAGTCGTAATCCTAAGAGCTGTGTTGAAGGAAGCCCATGACTGATGATTTTAGCTCAAAACCCAACTGCTTGCTTTCAGGGTCAAGTATATGGCCTGAAGGTAGAAAATTGTGTCTTCCATATGAGATTAGTTAATTTAGAAGTCCCTGTGAATTTAGAGGTGAACCCTTGTGAAAACTTGTTTCAAAGCCTCTATGTGGACCTTTCACTTTTTTTTATGGCATGTTTTTTGCATCCACTGCTTGTAGCCATGACACCTCCCTGCTCACCCCACCCTGGTGGGGCCTCTCTGACTGTCATGGGAGAAGGAGATCTTTTGTGGTGGCATTTCATGGCTAGCAAGCGTTTCCTGAACACCAGAGGGGGGTTCTTCTGCCTACCACGCAATGGGGTGTTCTTAGGTGGGTTTTGAAATGCGGTCTGTCTAGCAGGTTGTTACCAAGATTTCTGTTCCTGAGGGTTGAAGAAATGCATGAAATGTCACAGGCTTGGCTTGAGTGGTTTTACCAAGTCCCTCTTAACTCAGGCAATGAGTGAGATATTTCTGCATTTATGTACGAAGAAAAGTACTATTTTATAGCATTCAAATTCTATTCTTTGCAATTAAAACACAGAGTGAGATGCATTTTCTGAGTTAAGGTGCGGATGTAAGGAGTGGGATAACAGAAAAGTGGCTATAGAGTTGAAGAGCAATACTGCCTATAGAAATATACTGTTTTATTATATGTTATTAAGGATTTTGATGCTTGCCTAGCAGTGTGCCTTGCAATTAGTTTACAATGGGAGGTCTGATGAATACCACCATCCAGAAGAAATATGCATAATTTCTCTTTCTTCTAATCAAATGCACATGTTCT